GTAGTATAACTCTCCTTCATTGGAATATTCGCGGATTACGTTTTCACAGACCTATCTTCGTTATATCCTTTACTCTTATAACCCATCCAATATCTGCCTTCAAGAGACTTTTCTTACGCATCCGCCTATACCAAGTCACAATTACCATTTTGTCTCTTCCCCACACTCCTTGTATGTCTTATCTATACTTATCAATCAGAAAACACCTTATGTCACACCTCCCTTTCAAACCACTATCACTTGCACAGTTATTAGCATCTTACTTCGCCGGTGGATCACAGTGATTTCAGTCTACCTCTCCCCTTCCCACCTCATTGACCTTGTTGCCTTTGAAAACCACCTTTTCTCACAGCTGGTGATTTTAACTGCCGACACACTCTATGGGGTGATTCCAACTCCAGCGGCCGATCCCTAGAACGCTTCCTCTCCACAACTGACCTTATTATTCTTAATTCAGATCGCCCCACACAGTTTGACATACGCATGCAATCTTTTTCATGCATTGGCCTCTCTCTGTGCTCCCCTTCTCTTCATTTAGAATTCCATTGGTCAGTTCTAGACCACTTTCCCTATAGTGACCACTTTCCAGTTCTCCCTTCCTAACTCCCCACGCTGGTGCTTTGATAGAGCTGAGTGGCATACTTTCACTTCATTCATGCTATTTACCCCTCCATCCTCCTACTCGTCCATTTCAGATATGACACAATGTTTCACAACTAGTCTTAAGAGCTGCCTATACAGCTATCCCTTGAACCTCAAGACCTTATGCCTCCAAATGTATTCCATGAGAATACCTCCGGCGTACATATTCACAGTTTGACATACACAAATAGGAATAGATGAGCCTCCTGAAAAAAAAGCTCTCATGAGGAAGCAGATTGTTAGATAATGTTTATAATCTTTGGTTCATATTATTCCATGCGCAGGTGGGTTGGGCACAAAAATATAAGGATTAGATCAATGAACATACAAGTAAAGTCGACTATAGCATAGTTACACGAAATTTTTCCAGGAGTTAACTTGTTTTATAATCTTATAGGACATCTAAGTTCAGATCCTTCCCCTCCCCCCCAATCTCTTGCACGTTGTTGGTAGGGACAGAGGCAATGTAGGGGATCACCCCTACCTTGGACCGCGGCCCTCGCCTCAACAAATTTTTCGTTGTCTTTTCTCCCTCTTTCATTTTCCATCTGTTCTTTATCCCCTTCTGTCCACTCATCCGAATCGCTAACTCATTTTACCCTTTTCGCCACAGTACTTTATCGCAATACTATGTGACCTTTGATGTCTGGCATTTATTTGTTTTATACCTTAACCATTCTGGAAATCCACAAACATCGCCTTATTGAACAAAAAAACTTCTTTACCTGGGGGCTTCGCCCCTAAACCCCACCCTGTCGCTATATTTAGAATACGCCGATAATGACCTTAGATATTGACGCGGCAGAAAATGTTCAGTAAATAAAATAATACCGGTAAAGCCTGTCTCCTCGTACATGGCTGTGCTGGTATATGTCAGGGTCGTCAATCCATACCCAGGAGTCAGACTACCAGGCAAATGGCCATATCAGGTGAAATCGCTCGATCACGGGGAAGGACACTCCTCTAATGCCCGGCATTAAGCGATTGTCCGTCGTGAAGTGCCCTATCGTGTGGACGGCACTCAAGACTGAACTTGATTACTGCCTCTGGGCAGTAATCATACTAAAAACCTCCAAAATCATCTAAAAGATGTAGTTATAACGATGAATACGCTGATAAAAAGACCAAAAGTGTTTATAAAAATATTTAAAAACGCTGGTTTTCTCTACAAATCTAAAAGAATGGAAACTTTATGGCTTTATTTCCATGAAGAAAAGTCATACTTATAACCAGGTGGTCCATAAACTGTAATTGTGAGTATCAATAGTTATCTAAAGCACCCGCAATCCCTTGCTTATATTGTGTGTGTGTGTGGGGTGGGGTGGGGGTGGGGGGGCTTAGGAGACGGAGACTGAGGCCCAACGTAAGGGATTACCTGTACCTTGGAGCTCAGCCCTCGCCTCAAGTCATTTTGCTGGGCCTTTTCTTCTCCCTCTTTCCTTTTCTTTTTCTTCTTCATTTTCTTCTTCTATCACTTATGCGAATCGTTAACTCATTTTTACCCTTTTTTGCCACAATACTTTATCATAAAGCTATATGACCTATGATATCTGGCACATATATTTGTTTAAACCATTAACCATTCTGGAAATCCACAAAAATAGTTTTATGAACCAAAAAACTTCCTTACCTAGGGGCTTCACCCAACCTTTCGCAATGATTTGAATATGCTGCTTATGACCTTAAATACTGATGCGGCAGATTTTTTCAGTAAATAGGAAAATCGATATCTTAAGCAGTAATGTATTATGAGTTTATTGTTGGATTTACAATGCTGAAAACGTTATTCCACATCTTCAAATACGAAAAAAAACATTGGTTAAAACTGTAAAAAGTATATATAAAAATCTAGAATATA